TCTGACTTCAACATGTTACCCCTCTTTATGCCCCTCCTAAGAACAGGCTGACTTCAGGGTGAAACATTTTCTGATATAGCAGATTATTTTTCCACCCTCCATTCTGCCCTCTTCTCCCACTTTTTTTTCAAAACTAGTTTGTTCCTCTCTACGAAAGAAAGCCCTCCTTTGTGATGCGTGCAGATATTATACTTGGTGTTTTTACAAAGTAGTATTTCCTACAATACAGAAGAGCCTACCGAAACCCAACCTTTGCCCAGAGAAGTCTGAGCACCAAGAGGTGCCAGTGACAAACTCTGGTCTTTAGATTCCCTAACTAAAGCGAAATAGCGCGGTCCCGCCACAGCCACTTCCCTCTCCAACCAGAGCCCTCCCGCTCTCATTACACGCGATCCCATATGCGCACCATTTCTCAGCTTCCGGATGTCCCAGTGTCCTCGCTACAAATGTCCCAGTACCTGCAAGTCACAGAAGGGCAGAGGCTGCAGCAGAGACACCTAGGTCCTCCTGAAAATGCAACAGGGAAGACAGAACTTAGCTCCGGGTTCAGCACAAGAGACCAAAACCACGCCAGTTCCGGAAGCTGCCTCCTTCTTTCTGGCTGTGCATTTTGGTTGGACGGTTTCTACTGGAGCATCCCTGATTGGATAGGGCCTCAGGCCCCACCCCTCTGGTCCTGATTGACAGGGAATACGACCAGACAGGAGGCTGAACGTGGCCGGCCGGACTGCTAACAGTGTCTAGGCTGGAGCTCTGCATACCTGCTCTGGGACTCTGTACTCCTTGGGCAACATTTGTATTTAACATGGAATATAAATTATATCCTTTCTATACATTTTATTTATATAGACGTATGTATACATACATATGTGTACTCTCATACGCGCGCATACATACACTGCAAATATGTTTTTCACAAATGGAAACAACTTATTAACAATTATTTCAAAGGTTTTTTTTTTTTTTAATTTTCTTGTAATCTTGTCTTTTCAGACGGCAGCTTAAGCTTTGAAAAGAGATGCAGTCTTCCAAGAAAGCAATGTCCAATACAAATAAAATGTGAACCACCTGTGTCATTTCAAATTTTAAAGTAGCCACAAAAAAGAAAAGAAGTAGGTAAAATTAATTGTAACTTTTTTTTTTTTTTTGAGACAGAGTCTTACTATGTCGCCCTAGGTAAAATGCCCCGGCGTCACAACTCACAGCAACCTCAGACACTTGGGCTTAAGCGAGTGTCTTGCCTCAGCCTCCCTAGTAGCTGGGACTATAGGCACCTGCCACAATGCCTGCTAATTTTTTGTTGTGGTTGTCATGGTTGTTTAGCAGGCCCCAGCCGGGTTCGAACCCACCAGCTCGGGTGTGTGTGACTGGCACCCTAACCTCTGAGTTACAGCCGCCAACTTATGTAATTATTTATTTAATTCAATCTATCCAAAATACTATTGTTTTGGTATTTGATGAATAAAAAGATACTATTGAATTACTTTTTTGGTTCTGTGTTTTGAGGAATTGATGGCCAATGTACTCTTAACCACATAACAAATAACTCTTAGTTTGATGAAAAAGAGATGATAATGTGTAATAGAGGACAGGAAGGAAACAAAATGTTGGAAAAAAGGTGACATTTCATTTAAAGGAGAAACGACATTTTATTTTATTTACAGGAGAATATGCAAACAATGTTTAATAATGATTTTGACAAGGCACCAAGCCTTCAGGTGATGGTGGCCAATCCTGCTACACCAAATTCCTGGAATTGTGGCAATGAAACTGTGTACATTGGTCACTTTGGGTAAGCTGGTCTACACATGACTAT